GGGGGGGGGGGGGGGGACGGACCAGTGTGGGTGGCGTGCCCTCTCCCCCTTCCTGCCTCAGAGGACACCTCGGGAGCTGGGACCTCCTCCGAGGGCTGAGACTGCAGTGTTGTAGGGACAGACTCTGGTACGGCCCCACCACCAAGGGCAGCCTGGGAGCCTTCATCTCTTCAAGATGCACTGCTTTTCTGTAGTCGGGTCTTATCACATTCTTTTTGGTTTTGTTATGCCTCAAGCAGAAACGACCGCGTTCTAGAGTTTAACTTTAAAGAATGACCGTTTACTAGAAGATCCCAGACTGGGATGGTTCTTGTCCAGCGTGGACCAGAACAAAACAAATTCCCAGACCGTGAATTTGCCAGCATCTTGGAACCAAGGAGCCCCCTCGGGCTTAGAGCTTGTGTGGTTTTTTGGAAAGCTGTTTTCTAAACCACCTGGGAAGTGTTCGTTTCTGGCAGGGTGTTTTGTCTCCTCGGGGTTACCTAGGTTGGGGATCGGGGGCTCAGGGCTCCCTGGTGAGCTGGCCTTGTGGCCGCCAGGCTAGTCACGGGAGGGGATGGTCCGGGAGGCTCTGCCAGACTTGGGAGAGTCTCGAGGTGGTGCCTTCAACTGCCCGGCCTGCCACCCCGAGGGAGGGGCTGGAGGGCCGTGAGGTTTTCTCCTCTCTGGTCTTCAGCGCTCCTTCCCTTCCCATCTCAGGAGCTGGTTTTCCATCCGTCCCAGTCGGCAAGAGCCCCATGGTGGAGCAGGCCGTCCAGACTGGTTCTGTCGATAACCTGAATGCCAAAAAGCTGTTACCTGGCAAGGCCACCGTGGGGATGCAGCTGAACGGGCGCCCGGCCCAGCCGGGCGGCAAGACCACCAGCGGTACTTGTCCCTTCCCGTCCTGGTGTCCGCTTCACCGCCTCAGAGTGGCGCCCTGCTTCCTGGGGTTCTCTTTTCTGTCTTCTTCCTTTTTCATTCAAAAGCCCGCACCCCCTGCCCCCCATCGTAAACACCGCGTGTTCTCGCAGGGCCTGCCCTTGCTGCGTGGCCCCTGTGCTAGCGCCACCCCGCTTCCGTCGCTGGGCTCTGCTTCGGTGGGCGCTTGCCTTACTCTTTCCTTTTGCGCCTTAGATGTAGTTCAGCCGACAGCTGTGCAGAGTCAAGGGCAGGTGAACGACGAGAACAGAAGACCTCAGAGGAGGAGATCAGGTAACAGCTGTTGTTGCCACCTGAGTTCCGGGGAGCCGCGGGCCACCCGGCTGTGCACCGCTTCTCTGCTCGCCCCTCTGCTTGGCCTCTGTGGGTGATGGCTTTGGGGTGCTGGGGCTCAGTGTCCGCTTCCGTGTGCCTTGTCCCCTCTTCGTCACCCATCTCACTGGAGTAATGTCAGCTCGGCGGCTCACCAGTCACGGCTTTCCTTCCTTCCCCCAGGGAACAGACGAACGAGGAATCGCTCCAGAGGGCAAAACCGCCCGACTAACGTCAAAGAGAACACGATCAAATTTGAAGGCGACTTTGATTTTGAGAGTGCAAACGCCCAGTTCAACAGAGAGGAGCTGGACAAAGAGTTTAAGAAGAAACTGAATTTTAAAGGTGTTTGGCATTATGCAGAGGGTGCCCTCCCCACCAAGGAGTGTCTGTAGCTGCAGGTGCAAGACAGATGGGTGGGGGCGGGGCAGGTGTGGAAGCGGCGCCATCTAAGGAATTCCTGAGTGAGGACGAGGTTTGGGGTAATGTGCAAACTGCTCGTGGGTGAGGAGCAAGCTACACGGCCGGGGG